CATGCGTATTTCCCCACTGGCTGTCATCTCTGGACAGTTCTCATCCTTTGGAGTCTGGATTTAAACCCCAGCACCGCCACTTCCTGGCTGTGTGGCTGTGGCTGAGTTGCTTAACCGCTCTGGGCCTTAGCTTCCTCATCTGCGTCAAGACGATGACAGGAACTCAGACTCCAGGGGGTGGCCGGGGAGGTGACAGGTGTGAGTATAGCCAAAGGGCTTAGGATATGGCCTCGCACACAGCAGAGAGGACAAAAATGATCGCTGTAATTCCTGCTGACACCGGCCTCCGAGGGGAAAAGATGGGTGAGGTACTCTTCAAGATTGACTCGGAGCCAGACGATTGGATTTCAGGGGTCAGTAATATTTCCAGAGAATTGGGGTCGGGGAGTCACAGGTTAACCAACCTCTTGAGCTAACAAGGCCATCACAAGATTTATCTGCCACCTCCCTCCTTCAGGAAAGAAAGGGCATCCGTGCCTTCCAGAAAACAAGAACGGCATCTCAGAATATGGAACAGTTCTCAGGACAGCCCGATGGGCAACTTGAAACGAACATACTTGCTGTTCACCGCACTGTGCCTTCTCTCTTCTTTCTTTTTCTTCTGCGATCGCCCCCCAGATGCAGGCCAGCATCTGGGGACCACCGACCTCAGGGTCATGCAACCTCCAGACGTTGACAGAGGCTGGGATTTGTAGCTCGGGGCCTCACTGAGGGACCAGGAAGCAGAGCCGAGTGCGTCGGACAATAATAAGAAAAAGCGTTCGGGGAAACTCTGTGAATGAATGGCTAGAGCGTCATGCATTCACTCTCCCAGAGCAATTCCAGAACTCAAACACCCCCCCACACACACACCAGGTGGGAGCTGGGTGAATCAAGACTTCTTGTCTAGCTACGTCGGGCGGAGCCCCTTCCTGCCGACCTCTCATAGACACGTCTTGTCGGGGCCACTGCTGTCTCCCCACTGGAGCAGTCCCCTGCGCCAGCGTGAAGCCTGAGACAGCTGACGCCAAGAAAACCCTGGGACAAACAGGTCCCGTCAGGACACCAGGCAGTTTCCTCGCCGAGTGACGAATCGCAGGCCACCGGGGAGCATTTACAACCGGCCCAGCTGCCACCCAGGAGAGTGACTAATCCCAGCACTTAAGGACAGGCCCCAGACCAGCAGTCATTCAGGCACTGATGGCACCTAAGCATCTCACCCCGGGCTTCTCTGGGGAGATGGCTTATCTCCCAATGCACCCCCTTTCCCTCCACCCGCCCATGGCATTCAGGTCCCAGCCCCTCCCTCAGGCATGGTCACTGATGTTTCCATCTGTCTGTCTGATTCACTTCTGCTGAGAGAGATGAGGCTCCGGGCTTGTCTCGGGGCCACACAGCTGCCACAAGTCTTGACCGACCCACCCCCACTCCCTGGTGTGACCAGCATTGGAAAACCAAAACCCAGCCTGCAGGTGCTATTTTAATAAAGAGTAGCTTTGTGATGACACAGGCAGACCTGGCCTCCCATGTCTCACACCCTCAGTATTTCAGACACATGACTCGCGGCCTCCTTCCTGGGGACCAGCCCTCGCAAGGAGACGATTGGCCCCAAGTTCAGTCTGCTCTTAATGCCAGCATGGGGGCAGGTCAAGTGATAAAGACAGAGAGGGCACTTGGGCTCTGGCATTAGGAGGGTGGCCAGGCTGTGTGGGCAAGAAAGGACTCTCGGCCGAAACCGGTTTGGCTCAGTGGATAGAGGGTTGGCCTGTGGACTGAAAGGTCCCAGGTTTGATTCCGGTCAAGGGCATGTACATTGGTTGCGGGCACATCCCCCGTAGGGGGTGTGCAAGAAGCAGCTGATGGATGATTCTCTCTCACCAATGTTTCTAACTATCTCTCTCTCTTCCTCTCTGTAAAAAGTCATTAAAATATATTTAAAAAACCTGCGTTCTGAGCAGGTGCAGGGTGTTTGTTATTAAAATAGCATCGCCCTTTGGGGGGCAGAAGGCTGAATGCTTGTTTTCGTCATGTCCTAGGCCCGAGTTCATCCAAATGATATTTTATGGGCTTCGTTTAATAAGCCATATACTTATCACCAGGGGCTGGGGGTAAGGAAAATTAAGCCATAATTGTTGAGCCCATCTCCATAGGATACTGGCGTGCTCAGAGTATATAAAGGAGGGACAGCTACCCCAGACATTCTGAAGGAGTGGGGCGGGGTCTGAGAATGCTTTGCAAGGAGGTTGTTTTCAGAAAGAAGAACGCGTGTGCCAAGGCCCGGAAGCTTGAAGCCACGGTGCATTCTGGGAACTGGGAACCATGTGGCATGGATGGCTGGAGCCCAGGAAAATGGAACAGGGGGGCAGGGGCTAGGTTGTGTATTATCTGTGCTCCAAGCAAATTTTATCATTTTAAATTACAAAATTCCACTGACTCTGAGAAGCATTTATAACTTGCAATTTACAACAACATCCCCAATGAGTAAGACCCAAACCGTTTTAAAACCCAGCAACCCTGCTCCATAACAGGAGAGAGACCATGAGTGGTGAATTGGTTTCCAAACTGAACACCTATTTACAATGTAAATGTGATGCTAGAATCTATTGGCAATGAGAACTTGGAACGAGCTAGTTAAAAACCAGAGTCTCTTTCCTTCCTGTTTTATCCCCCAATCGTGTTTCTATCTGAGTGAAGTATCCGGGACTGGAGAGAAGAAGGAACTTTAGGGAGAAAAAAAGTCGCATCGTCTTGAGCAGATTTGCATGCTCCTTAGAGAGTGTCTGGCTGTCAAGACGCAGAGAAAAGGTCATTTCCCTTCCCATCGACTGGACTTGGCCTCTAAAAGGTGCCCCTTACCTCGCTCTCGGCTGTCAGCATGGCTGCCAATTTTTTCCCAGGCAGGGGACCTCCCCCACAATGAAATGGGGGATCCCCCCACCCCCCAATGAAACAGGTCCTGGGGGCATACTCATAGCACAAGAGTCTGGGTTTTGTTTCCTTTTGTTTTTAATACTTTTTTTTTTTAATTTTTATTGTTCTCTGAGAGGAAAGAGAGGAGACAGAAACATCAGTGATGAGAGAGAATCACAGACCGGCTGCCTCTTGCACGCCCCCTACTGGGGATCGGCAACCTGGGCCTGTGCCCTGACTGGGAATTGAACCTTGACCTCCTGGTTCTTAGGTCGACACTCAACCACTGAGCCACGGGATGGGCGGGTTTTAAATAGATATGCAAGCACCCTTCTTAGCTCAGGCCTTAGAGCTTACGGCTGGCCTGTTGAAACAACCTGATGTAGGGAATGGGGGCGTTTACGACACACCTGGCAGGAAAGTGCAGCTTTACGTGCAAAGTGATGACCTGATGGCATTAAAAAAATCAGCAGTCCCCGGCATGTAGAAGGCATTTCGCAAAAGTTCAGTGAATGGACGAGCGAGCGAGGGGTGCCCGCATGCACACCCAGCATCATTAGGATTTTATAGCAGAACAATGGGCAGCCGCTGGTCCCGCCCTCTCACATGCCCAGGTCAGCGAGTGCCCTGGGCCAGGCCGAGCCCACATCCGGGAGGAGAGTGGGGGGCCGGGGGTTAGAGCAAGGCCCCCCCCAGTGGGACCCCCATCACCCCAAAGGTGGCCAGCCCGTTTCCCCTGCTACCCACGCTGTGGAGTTAAGCGGTGACAGCAAGCTCCCTGTCTGTGTGGGAGCTGTTGGCGCGCCGCGTATTCACTCGGCGGCATCTGTGAAAGTTTTCGGAGCTCGTGGTGGGGGAAAGCTAGGATGATATGGAGAAAGAGGCAGAGAGGGTTCTGGAAGCGCGGTGGGGTTCACAGGAGGGACCCTGGGGTGGCCCTGATGGACAGGGGCAGGGAGAAAGGGAAGCGGCGCCGGCCCCAGGTGTGGGTCCATGGGGCGTGGGCACCCTCGGCCTAAGACTGGCATTAATTTCCCTTTCGAGGAAACTGTCAACCGCAGGCTCTCCACTCCGTGCTGAAGGAGGGGCGCAAGAGGCACGGATGCCAGGGTTGGCACTAGCCCCCTGGAGCAAGGGACCTCCTGCCCACGCTGAGAACTCGCCGTCTCAGGGCACAGGGCCGGGTAGCTCTGCTCTGGGCCCCTCCGAACCCCCGCTGCCCCCCACCTGCCCACTGCGGGCTGGAGGCTTTGTGTGGCGCGGAAGCAGAGAGGGGCCGGGCCCCACGTGCGTGCGTGCGGGAGGCTGCCGGGCGGGGTGCGAGCATCTCCGGGACCCACGGCTGGGGTGTTCCGCGCTAGGACAGGGGCTCGCCGCCGCGCCCCCTCTCTGGAGAGATCCCCAGAAACGCTGGGGCGAGACCGCGCGACAGGGGGCCCCGAGGACCACCGGGCGGCGACATAGACTTTCCAGAAAGGTCTCTGTCTCCCGCGGGGAGAGCGCACGGGAGCTCGGGGGGGGGGGGGGGTGTGCAGGGGCGCCGTGGGTTCGCTGCGCTTCCAAAGCCAGGCGAGGGCAGGGGGGGTCTCAGCCCAGCCCCGCGCGCATCCCAACGCCAGGCTCTTCGGACCGCGGGGAGAGCGCGCGTGTGTCTTTCTCTACCGGGGACACTCCCCTTTCCCGGGAGCCCCCCATGCAGAGCCTGGCCCTCCGCCGGGTCTGGGGATCCCTTCCCCCAGCGCACAGATCCCCGCGCGTCCCTTGCCCACTTTGCCAGGGCGAGAAAGCGGCCGAGCCGGAGACAAAGAAACTCCTGCCTCCTCCGCTGCCGGCCCCTCCGCCCGCCCCAGACACTCCCCGGCGACATCGCGCGTGGACACTCCGGAGAAGGGAGGGGGACACGGGGGCCGGCCGGCCGGCTGGAGGCTGCCCGGGGGACACCCCACCCGCCGCTCCCCAAACCGTCCCGGGCCCAAGGCGCGGCCACCCTGGCCACGAGCGCCCGCCACCTAGGGGGGCGCGGCGCGCACAAAGCGGATCGGGGTGATGGGGTGGGCGTGTGCGGAGTCCGGGAGGGATAGATCCCGCCGCCGCCCGGCGCAGCTATTTACCCGATCTCTTCCTCGATCTCCGAGATGTCCGCGAAGATGAGGCAGACCACCAGCAACGTGAGCGCAGCCAGCAGCCAGCTCCGGAACTGCAGCTGCATGGTGGCTTCGCGCCCCCGGGAGGGACCGTGCGGGCCGGAGCGGGGAGCGGGGCGCAGCCGGGCAGACACCCCGCGCTCCCGGCGATCGGGGCCGGCGGCGGCGGCAGCTGCGACAGCGGCACACAGGGGTTGTTGCTCAGGCGCGGCGAGCCAGCTCTCCCTCTCCCCCTCGGCTCCAGCCCGCCCCTTCTCTCCCCCTCCCCTCCCTTTTCTTCTCCTCCCTCTCCCCCGCCCGCGTGGGGGCTCCGCGCGCAGTTTGACAGCTCTGCTCCGCGCCTCTGCTCGCCTCCGCCCACCCCGGTCCCCTCCGATGTCCAGCCGTCCGCCTCGGGGTACCCCGCATGCCTCCTTCCAGCTCCAGGGGGCTCTGGGACTTGGCTGGAGCCGGCCACTCCCAGCCTAGGGGGCTGAGCTGGGGAGCCGCGTGCGCCCAGGTACCGAGCACCGAGCACCGCCCCGCGTACCCCGCCTGGCTGGCTGGCAGACGCCCTTCTCCGCCCGCTCTTTGTCCGGCGCCTCCCGCTTTCTCTAAAAGTTTTTCCGACACAAAGGCCCGCACCTGGGGACAGCCCCCAGCGCGCGGCCAGGAGGCGGTTTCAGGCCGCCAGGCGTGTCAGCAGGATTCAAATTCAGAGGGGAGGTGGGCCAACAACTTTGGTGGAGATGGTGACTGCCAGAGACACTCTGCACCTCTCCGCCCTCCTCCTCCCCACTCCCCTGCACCAGGCACTCATCTTGGTCTCCACTGATAGATGGATGGAGTCTTTGTTCAGAGAGGTTCCCTGAGTTGCCTGAGGTCACACAGCCGTGGCTGAAACCCTAGGCTGTGCCCGCTGGAGTGGCTGCTTCATCTATCCATCCCACTGCCTTCAGGATGGGCAGTTTTAAATAGATTTGTAAACAGGCACCTCCTTTGCAATGCCTTCTCTTTCTCTGTGAAGCTGGAGCGCTGAATAGTTCTACGTCGGTCCGGGGAGGGGGTGTCAGGAGGTAGAGTATCATAGCCGGAATAGACTGACAGGCTATTGTATTCCTGCCCCTCCCTAACGGAGAGAACCTGCCTTCTCTTTTGAAATTGACACTAAATTAGAACGTTCTCACAAAACGCCCCGTTCTCCTCCGTTCTCCCTTCGCTATCAGAATCCTAGCAGTATCAGTCCGGAAGAGTAAATGGACACATTTGCATTCCATTTGTAGCTTTTGCAAACAGCAAGATTGTGTATGAGCTAAAGAAAGGAAAGTAATATGCCCAGAAGATGGCTTTCCATGTTTCTGGGATTAACAGCAAGGGATGTCGGAAGGAAGGGATGTGGGCGTGAGTTGGAGGTGAGAGCAGAGGAGGGGAGGAGGAGATGAGCAATTGTTTTTTTCCTGGGATTCCCGCCCCCCCCCCCCCCCCCCCTACTCTAGTCAGGGATTTAAGATGGTTTTGAAGCCAAGCACAAAGTCAGGTACCAGATGGCAGAGAGGAAGAAAAAGGATTGTCCCCTCAGGGTGCCCACCATGGAAAACCCTGGGACCCAGGGGCCATGAGACTTGCCCACAGGAGTTTCCGAGCTGAGAGCTGTCTGTCTGTCTGTCTCCTGGTCCAGTGCAGTGCGTCTCCTCCTGCATGCCCACCTTTTCACGACACTTCGGTGGGATTGCAAACTCCCAGGGGATGGGACACCTTCTTCCCCTCTGATTACCACCTTATCTAGTCTGGTCAGAACCCAGTCAATGACCTGTTCCTGCCATGGCCAATTTCAAGCCACCCCCCCTTCTCACAACTGAAGAGAACCTTGGGACGAGCTGGGCATTGACACACCGAGATAGAGTATTTCCATAACATACACACAGTATCTATATATGTAAAAGCCAAGCAACCGGAATGACCAGTCACTATGCGATGGGAGTGAGGCTGGCCAGCCAACCTCCTGCAGCCCCTCCCCCCAGCTGGCCCACCATGATCGGTCTGATGGGGGCAGGACGGCCGGATTCCACCCGTGCAGGATCTTAGCCCAGAACATGCCAAAGGAGAGGGACCCTTAGCCCCAAGTGGATTTCCTGTCAGATGATGCCAGGAGCCAGTTCCAGCATGTCGTAATTGCAAGAGTTTCATCAAAAAGTTGATGGAACTTGGGGACTCAACAAGGGCCGAGTCACATATATTATCACCTGTTGGAATGACTTAAAGGCATTTCCCCCAAACCTGAATAGGATGATCATTTATTGCCAGATAGTTCAGGGCATCTTAATCTGCATGTTATTGCCTCCTAATGGCCAAACACCTGAACAGCCATAGACTATTCCCCAGTCTGACAATGCTTCTGTAGGAAACCCTACCCTCTGATATATAAGTCTCCATCTTGCCTTAGGACAAATTGTGTTAATAAAAAGCAAGGAGACCTGAGACAAGGGGAACTTAAAGCTTGGCTTCTTCAGCCAGGCTCCTCTGACCTCCAATGCCTTTCAAAACTGTCTTTCATCTTTGGACTCCTATTAATCTACTACACATAGCCTTTCTCCAGATTGCTGAACCCTTCTTAATGCTGGAAAATAACCCCAGCAAGGCGTCCTATGGGAGTCGAATGAATATTTCTCAAGCACTTACTAAAATGGGAGCATAAAAGTAAGTGATCATTATGTATGGACTTTTGTTTATTTTTAAGTTAATGCAAAAGTAGAAAGGGTATACCTAAAATGCAAACAGTGGTTATCCCTGAATGGTCACACTGGGTTGTTCTTTATTTTTCTTCATACTTTTCTCCATTTTATAAATTTTCTACAGTGATCATAAATTACTCTGGAAATCAGGGGGAGGGGGGGAAAGTCATTAACATTTGTTGTGCCTATTTTCTCTGCACTGATTTTTTTTTTCCTGCCAGAGTTTAATATTCTTTCTCAATAACCCAATATAAACACACATATTTAGTGTAGAAAATTGGTTTTGCAAGCAATTTCCCATCTTTCTTTGATGTTTCATAAGTATCTGCCTAATATTCATAGTGCAGTTTATGATGAAAAAAACAACAACAATCAACCCAATTTTGTCGCATTGGTGTTGGAATTTCCTTGGAGAGGAGTCCTCTCTTATTCTTCTCACCTGAGCCTGGTCGGCACCTAACCTGGACTTCTCTGATGCTCTGGGCACAGCCAGATCAGCTGATGCAGCAAAAGGGCCATTCAGAGATGAGAGTGCAGGGAAAGGAGGCAGTGGTTTTATACCCATGTGGTGCCCCAAACCCTGCCCACCACTTCCCTTCTGCCTCACCATTGCTCAAACTCTACTGCTCATGTGCAGGCGACAATAACGAGCATACATTAACATGAGGGGTGGCCCTGACCAGTCTTGCTCAGTGACTAGAGCATCAGCCCATGGACTGAAGAGTCCCAGGTTCAGTTCTGGTCCAGACCACATACCTGAGTTTCAGGCTCCATCCTCAGCCCTGGCTGGGACACATGTGAGAAGCAACTAATAGCTGTGTCTCTCTCACATTCATGTTTCTCTCCCTCAGTTTCTCCCCATCTCTTCCACTCTGGCTTAAAGAAAAAAATCAGTGGAGTCCTAACCAGTTTGGCTCAGTGGATAGAGCACTGGCTTGTGGACTGAAGAGTTCCGGGTTGGATTCCAGTCAAGGGCAAGTACCTTGGTTGTGGGCACATCCCCAGTAGGAGGTGTGCAGGAAGCAGCTGATAGATGTTTCTCTTTTATCAATGTTTCTAACTCTTCATCCCTCTCCCTTCCTCTCTGTAAAAAAAAAAAATCAAAAAAAAAAATCAATAGAATATATTTAAAAAAATCAATGGGAAAATATCCTCAGGTGAGGATTACCAAATACACAAACAACAACAACAAAAACAAAAACAGAATGAGGGATGGAGGAGTAACATTAACCTGAGGATCTTAATCAAGACATCCTTTCCGCCAGGACCGGTTTGGTTCAGTGGATAGAGCGTCGGCCTGCGGACTGAAAGGTCCCGGGTTCGATTCCAGTCAAGGGCATGCACTTTGGTTGCGGGCATATCCCCAATAGGGGGTGTGCAAGAGGCAGCTGATCGGTGATTCTCTCTCATTGATGTTTCTAACTCTCTATCCCTCTCTCTTCCTCTCTGTGAAAAAACAACAAAAACATATTAAAAAAAAAAAAAAAAAAGACATCCTTTCCTAAAAAAGAGAAGAAGAAAAAGACACCCTTTCTTTTCAAATCTTCACAAATGAAGTCTTTGGCCAGGCCGTCAACTCATCCCACTGTACACACAGCTTTCTTAGAGAATATCTCCTTTCTTTCTTTCTTTCTTTTTTTTTTGTAAGAGGAAATTTATAGAAATGAAAAAGTTTTCCTAGACAGGTTTTTTTTTTTTTTTTTTAAGAGATTTATAAAATTTGTATTGTCTCAATCTCTCTCCGCAACTCTAAGAGGGCATTATGACTCCTTCCCATTCATTAGAGTTTGCATTTTTTGGCAAGACCGCGTTCATGACCTAGTAGGATTGCGTGTTTTTTGTGTCGCAAATATTCTCCGAGGCACATTAGAATCCCATGAATAACTGAAGCCGGAGTAAAATGTTTATGAACGGGGAAATGATGTTGACAGTTGTTAATGATTATAGAGCCCTGTAGCCGCCTACCTGCCTTTTGTCCACATATTACGGGTAATAGCTGTGATTTGTTGGCTTCCAAAGCCCTTGGTCAGTAACAGACTCCCACTTACTGCCTGGTCTGGTGCAGTAAACGCAGTCCGTTCCGCGGGTTTCTGGAAACCCATCGAGATGACAAATGAGAGCGGGGTCACTCTTTCGGGCTGAAAGCAGTTCATTAAATGGGTCCTGAGTGGCCCTGGGAGCGGGCTTGGCTCCCGGCCATCTGACATCACCGGGAGGTAGATGGGGCGCATAATGGCAGCACCTGTGAGCACTTAAGTTCCTCACACACTGAGTCAGACAAAGGCCACGTGACTTTCCCAGTCTGGCTGCTCTCGGGTCCCGGGGAGGTTAGGAAGGCTAGTTTGAATTTTTAAAATTTTATTATTATTATTATTATTATTTTAGTTTTCTTTCAAAGGGGAAAAGCAAGGGTGTCAG